TTTCACATAGGACATATACTCATAGACATAAAGCTAGTGAAATACCTAAAAAAGTTCCGTTTTTTGGTTCGGTTCGTTTTTCAAAGCGATAACCAAAACAGAAATTAAACAATAACAATAACGTTCAATTTTATTATGTTTTGTTTCAACTTTTCCGGTTCAATTTTTTTTTCTAGTTCATTTCGATCTCGATTTATGATTTTTCCAACCCAACCCAATATACCCCTGCCCCCTCCACCCAGGGTTTTTTTATTTTAAGAAAAATGCTAGGGGTAAAGGTGTACCTCATGTGTCCCTACCCTCTCATTGTCCACATAAATTGACAAGAAATTCAAAAAAAATAAAAATCAAATAAAAATGAGTAGTGAAGAAGGATGTGGTGTACATATGGGGTACACCAATGTATCCCTAGCATTGCTCTTATTTTAATCCTCTCTCTGCCATTATCTGGCATTTGTGCCCAATTAATCATTTCACTTCACTATTCAGGGTGAATACGGAGTATCTAGTTTCATATTTGCCCCAAATTATGTTGAGATGTGAACACGGATTACACAATTTTTTTTGAAAATTTAGGAATTTATTCGCTACTTCTTTTACTGATCCGGAAAGCACCATGCGTCGTCTATAATCTTTTGAAATCCGCAGCAGAGCCCTTTTTTCTAGCCATATAGGCATATAGCTGTAATTTCAGATCTAAGGGGTGTATTCAATTGAGATTTTCTAAGATTTTTTTGAACTTTAAAAAGTTGAAGGATTTAGAAAATTCATAGACTCCATATAGATTTTGACCTACTTTCTAATTGATTTACGTAGATTTTGGTCAGATTCTTTTATTGATTTATGTGGATTTCTATCCAAAACTGAAACCCTAGAAGTCTGGAATGAAAGTCTGTGCCACTGCCCATTCATCCTCTTCAATGATAATTGATTCAATCATCAAAGTCCATTGCGCCACTTTGTTTGGCCTACTACGCCAAAAGACAATCGCCAAAGTCCGCATGGATTCAATCATCATCGATTCATCCTCTTCCTCTATATTCCCACAGCCGCTTTGCTGTAGTTGCCGCCACTGCGGACTGCCGGTGGACTGGAGGAGTGAGCTGACTGACAGCAGTGGGTTGAAAGAGAAGATAAGCACAGACTGTAATACCCCGTGGTCGGGGTGTTACACAGACCGAAGAAGGAGAAGATAAGCTTATTGCGTGAAATCTAATTTGTGCGGAAGAAGAGGAGTCTGGCAAAATCCTAACGTTGTTGGTCGGATTTGGAGTTTGGATTTTTATTTATAAGCAGCACATGAAAATCCATCAAAATCCACATTATTAAAAATTTTTAAAAATCTATCAACTTTTGAATACCATCATACGTAGAAGGATTATTTAAAATCTGAACTGAATACACCTAGATTTTAAAAGATTTTTTAAAATCTGAATTGAATACCTATATATTTTCATAATCCCAAAAAATCCATCAAAATCCCGATTGAATACACCCCCCTAAAACTCATACTCCGTACTACGTAACTCATAAGGAATTGGTTGGGAATGCATATAGTGATAAACGTATTTATTGAGTGCATTTTGTATTCTTAATTTCCCCAAGTTTTAAATATACCATTACTTTTTTTAAGGGCTAATTTTATTTCTTCCTGGTTTTGTCAATGACTTCATGTTTACAGTTGGGTAAACCAAAAACCAGTTAGAAAAATTGACTTGTAGAAAAAGTGGCATGCATTTATAATCTAGGAAAAAAATGAAAATAAACGTGCACCATTACCCCATGGTAGGGCTGGATTAGGTTTTTTTTCAATTCGGCTTTTCCCTAAAACCGTTAATTTGGAAGTTCGGTTTTTCAAAAAAAAAAAAAAAAGTAAACGATGGTTTTTCGGTTTGGTTTTTTGCGATTCGATCCTCGGTTTGTTTTCGGTTATTCAATTGGAAAAAACATTATTTTAAAAGAATATCACACTTATCACATTAAGAGCCTGTTGTTTAGGACTTGAACTCTTAACTTCTAGTTTTTTCCAGTTTCTTCCAGTTTTTTCCAATTTCTTTCAGTTCATTCCACTTTCTTCCAGTTCCTCCGGTTCCTTCCAGTTTCTTCCACTTTCTTCCAGTTTCTTTCAGTTCCTTCCAACTTTTCTCATTTTCTTCTAATTCTTTCTACTCCTCAATCAATTACTCTAAAAATGATATATTTCAATGTGATTATTATTATTATTATTATTATTATTATTATTATTTCAATTTAAAATAAATATTTTTAAAGTTTTTTTTAGGTTTTCCAATTTTTTGAAGTTTTTTCCAGTTCCTTCCAATTTTTTACAGTTTCTTCCAGTTTCTACCAGTTCATTCCAGTTTTTTCTAGTTTCTTCCAGTTTCTTCCAGTTTTTTCCAGTTTCTTCGAACATCTAGCTTTTTTTTACAGTCCTAAAGAACATGCCCTAAAAAGTTTCTTAAGGAACTACAAACACTTGCAAATATCTATCCAAACACTAGAAATTCCAACCTCAAATTGAGGAAGTTCATAGAGTTTATACTTGTTCCCATTTAAAAAAACCAGCATAACCTCATAATTATTTATAACTAGCATTTTGACCCGTGCCATGCACGGGGTTGAACAAAATCTTTTTCGATTCTGAAATTTTTTCAATATAATATTTTTTTAAAATAAAGATAATATATTTCTCACATATTTTTAATAACATAGAAAAAAGACAAAGTACTTAACATAGTTTATTTTAATTCTAAATTTTCTAAAAAAAACCTCAGGGTGTAAAATATTTTTGGAATAATTGTAAGGGTTTTCATTTTCATCTAAAAAAATATTTTTAATCGTGTCTCTGTATTCACTTATGAAATAGAAACATAAAACTGACCATGAGTGAATACTGACTTGGTTAAAATAATCCAATAAATGACAATATTCGACCTTGATTTTTATTCAATGTCATCATTGCAAAACATAAAACCATTCGGAATTGTCTTCTTTGGAACTTCAGAATAGTCCTAGACCAGATGGTACCAAATATAATTCATATGTGATATATAAACCTTTTCCCCGACTTGATTTCACAAAACCAACAATAACACCGATAACATTCTTCATCTCACCCCCTCCCTCCCCTCCGCTTTAAAACTATTTTATGGTTTAGGATCACCAAATATTTGGTATTATTTTCATAAGTTATTCTTGAGGAGATAACTTAAGAAATAACTTATGTCTAGAATCAAGAATTCGGGTAGAATATCAACGTCACTTGTTTCATCAATCACTTTTCCAAGTTTTCCATCTCCAAGTTTGAGTATCCCATCAGAAAAAGCTTGTGTGTCCCTATCCGTGCAAGAGGGCATTGACGAATGCAATCTTTCTCTTCGTTAACGTATAAACTTTACAATAAGACCACAATTTTGATGAATTGATGGTAGCACCTACGAGTCAATTATGTTTTGTCTATTATGCACGCAAAAGCTTGATGAATTTAGTGTAAAATTGGTATCTGCTTGAAGCACTGTGTAGATAATTTTTTAGAAAAAATGTACTGGAAATATAAAATATTTAAATTGAAATACAAATACCATGTGTCACATCACATAGCATATATATTACTTCTTAAATGGGTTTGATTATGCGTGGCAACAGTCAATGACGATCCATCTCTATCTGTATATGTAATATCTAACATAAAATTATACTAATATTTATCTCATGAAAAAGTACAAATGTTTTTTGTACTTTTTTGGGATGCGTTATAAATATATTTTTTATTTTTTTATACATAACTTTTTAGAATAAAAGCTTTGGTCCATAATGTCTTTCTTATGTATATTAGAATAAAAGCTTTGGTCCATAATGCCTTTCTTATGTATATTTTAATCCACTATAAAATTTTTAAATTTTAATCATCATTAAAATACTATTGTCATCATAATTATTATTACTATTATTCAACATCACTTAGGAACAAAATTTTAATCGGTGTTCTTTATAAATGATAGTTTTTAAAAAATAGAAGCTTCGGGTTACTTATGAAGCATATGTACTAATCATTATATAAATCCTTATTTTGAAAAAAGTAAAAATGGAAAGTGGTGGGTAGTTTTACAAATTTACATAAAAATAAATTTATCTTGTCAAATATTTTCAATATTAATTAAAATATTTGTAACTGCATATGTCCTTTTCCTTATTCCTTTAAATATTTTCCATGTTAGTGATAATATTTAGATGAAACTCCACATGGAATTTCCCATTATTTTATAATTTATAAAAAACATGTATGAATAATCTGATGAGTTACAAAAAATCATACAAATATATTCATTTTTGCCAAAGGTTTCCTCATTTAAAATTTAATATATAATTTTATTTCTAAAATAATAAATTAATTATGTATATTAAGAGCTTTAATAAGGAAAATTCTATTCAATGCTCTTGCTGACATGGATGAGGAGGTGTTAAAAAAATTATCTAGTCAGCGTGCCAAATGTCGTAATTCTGGAAGCTCAACTCTCCTTTTTAATATACTAGTACTAGTATTCTGACCCGTGCCATGCACGGGGGCGAAAGAAATTTTTGTCAATTCTAAATTATTTCAATTAAATTTATTTATCGGAATAAAGAAAATATATTGCACACATGATTTTTAATACTACAAATGAAAAGTAATATAAATAATATTTGAGGAACAGAATATAGAGTTAACAATGTTTATTTTAATACCAAATTTTCTGAAAGACTTCAGGGTATACAACATTTTTGGTATGGTTGCAAGGGTTTCCATTGTCATCTAGAACTAATATTTTTAATCATGTCTTTGTTGTCACTCGTGAAACAGTAAAATAAATTTGACCCTGTGTGAACACTAACTTGGTTAAAACTAATCTCACAAATGACAATGTTTGACCTTGACTTTTGTTGATAGTCATAGCAAAACATGAGGCGATCGAGAATTGTCTTCTTTGGAACTTCAAGGGTAGCCCTGGATTAGATGCTACCAAATTCCTTCTAGGGATGTAAAATTTTTCTCCGACTCGATTTTCTGAAACCACAATTGCACCGATAACATTATTTCGCAGCTCTTGAACAATTAATCTTGTCCCATTACACAATCCAGATAGTTTGGTCAATGAATTACATGTTAGATATAAGTAAATTTTCCAATTTAAAATTTATATTTTAACTTTGAATTATTTACATTGATCATTCTGTATCAATGCCTAAATATTTTTCCCTTGCATGCATATCATTCTATTTTAAAATATGCATGCACATTTTTTATATTCACCAATTTCATATCAAATTTATTGCAAAGTTTTGAATTTTTTTTAAAATTTTTTTAAATATGAATATATTTTTACTCAACTTTGTTAATATTCGTCCATTCAATTGTTTAAAATATTCAATATGCATAAACTATTTTTTTTCATAAAAAATATAGAAAAATGAAATTAAAGAGTCATGGTTAGACACCATTTTATTCCTATTGATGTAAATATAAAATTGATAAAAAATAATCAGTGAGCTATATGTATACCTAGATAAATCAATAATTATACATTTTAATTATCCATGATTTCTATGAAACCTATAACGACATTTAATTTTTTTACGGATGCAGATTATAATTGATAAAATAACATGACTATAATTAAAAAAAAGTACACATATTTTTACTTTTTCTTGGAGTGTTCATTTTCACATGGAGAATTTGTAAAATCCTTCTAAAATTGACATCTAATTTTAAATTTTGTATTAAACTTTATTTATTTAACATAAATTAATTTATCTATACTAACGATTTAGAGATGAAGATAAGAAGATTTTTCAATGCTCATTAAAAAGCAACCATATAAATTTTAAATACAAAAATTCCGGTCACTAAAATATCCCCTTTGATTTTGTTATATTAAAAAAAATCAAAAATGTTATGTATCAAATTACCTTAAAACAATAAAACAAAATTAAATATATTAAGATAAAACAATATTTAAAGTACGTACCTTTTCTATCTTTTTTTGTTGAAATTTTCCTTTTCTCTTTCTCTTGCATCTCTGATTGCAAAGGAATGGTACATTCATATTCTAATTGCAAAGGAATGGTGCATTCATCCGAGATGAGGAAAGGTCCGGGTTTTTTTATGGCTAAGGAAAGCTTACTTTATGGGTCGTGTGATTTTTTTTCATTTAATTCTCTTGCCACCTCAATTTGCCACATGTCACTCCTCAACTTTGCCAAATGTTACTCCTCAACATAGTAGTACTCCGTAATTAATTATATCCAGAGAAGCTTGTATCACATAGCATAGAATTTAAAATAATAAAACAAAAAGGTGAAAATTGGCAGTGACACCAAAGATTTGAATTCTTTTGGTTCCAGCCTTCCGGGCGCTACTCCTATATATACCAAAACTTCAATTTCTTTTATTAAAATATCTATATTTAATAAACATTTCACTAAAAAGGCAATCAAATTTCATTCACTTTCTTTCTCTATTTCCGTTAGCAATTTTATAAAATAAAATACTATTGTCACTACTAGTTTTGTAGATCTTTTGATATATTTTAATATGTAATTTTTATTTTTTAACTTTATACCATTTGGCATATAAAAAGATTTAAAAATAATTTCAGTCAAACATCGTAAATCGAAACAGACACTATAAATTGGAAGAGAAAGAATACTACTCCCTCTGTCCCCTTAAGATGTTCTCATTTTGAATTTTGGTGGTTTTTAAGGAGAGTTGAAAAAAGGTGAAAGTTTACCATAATACCCTTAATGAAAAGGGGTGGAGTGTATTAAATGAGGTGGGTGAGGTGTAATAAATAAAGTAAGTGGAGGTAGTTGTATTTTAATTGTTAAAAAATGAAATGAGAAGATTTATTGTGGACAAAGAAAAAGGGTTATTGGGAAGATCTATGGGGGACGGAGGGAGTATTTCTTTGTGATACTTCTCCTTCATCCAATTGATCTTTTTTCTAAGCTTATGTTGTTTGAACAGCAGCATTACGACGACCATAACGCTGCATTCCAGTAACCAACTCACCGCACCTTGTGCATCGGAATGGAGCCGCCGAACACCGAGTTTGAAGACAGTAGTAACAAAACCTGCACACCAATCATTATGGGGCCTTGTTAAATCCACCCCTAACAATATTTGTCATAATAAAATACTCCGTACCTTTATCATCACTTGTTTTATAGATGTACTAATAAATACTCCGTACTACCTCAATCTAGGGGTGGGCACGGGCCGGTCCGAGCCCAAATTTATATAAACCGGACTCGACTTGTTTTTTTTAAAACGGTCCGGGCCGCAACGGGTTTTCAAAATTTTAAAATTAGAACCGGACCTAACCCGGCTTGTTTGAAACGGGCCGATTCCACGGGTCAACGGGTCCGAACCTATCATAATACTAACATTCTTCAAAACAAATAGAAATTATAGAATAATGCCTTCAAAGTTCAAAAAATAGGAATAAATGGAAAAAAACAATGACAAAGAGGGGCATGAGAGTAAAGTGTACACCACATGATCATCCAACAACAACAACAAAAAGAAGACAACCACATTTTGGTATTATAATATCGATATGTTTCAAAAAAGCAAAATTGACAATCTTCATGACTTCTAAAAAATCCAAAAAACTTGCAAAAAACAATTGGAATATGGAAGGACCGAAAGAGTTACTAAAATTAATTGGAATAGGTGGATATACCGTATATTTACTAAAAAAAATATTAAAAATAATATTAATATTTAAAAAACGGTCCGGTCCGGGTCTCAAATAATTTCAAAATGAGGAACCGGACCGACCCTAAAATTTATAGGAACCGGACCGACCCGGACCGTTTTAAATTTTTGAAATGACGACCCGGACCTAACTCTGCCCGAACCTGGCGGTTCGGTTCCGACTCGCGGTTCCTGGACCCGAATGCCCACCCCTACCTCAATCCCCGAATATTTGTCCAATGTTGACTCTTTTCAGTCAATTGTATTCAACCATTTTGACCTATAATTAAATAAAATATAATTTGTATATTAATTAGATAAAATAATATTTTAAAAATATTTGATATAATAAATCTAAAAAATTATTTTTGTATCAATATCTAATATCATTTTTATTTAATTTGAGGCCAAAGTTTACTAATTTTGACTGAATAAGTCAAAGTAGACAAATACTCAAGGACAGAGGGAGCATTAAATATGTAACTTTTAAATCAGTATTTCAAAAAATTTAAATGAAAACCATTTCGGTCACATATCATACACCGAAATGTGAAGTTTATCAAGTGCAAAAGAAGTATTATTACAATTACCATTATTATTACTATTATTGTACTTGGTAATTATTATATTCCTAGCCCAGTGATGGATTCCCAAGTTCTGGTAGTTTCCCATGTTTCAAACACTAACACTATGTTTGGTTCAAAGAATTTGAAAGGGAAAAGAAAAGAAAATAAAGTGGAAAACAATTATTTTTGTTTGGTTAGAGAGGAAAAGAAAGGAAAACAAGAAGAAAGAGAAAAGGAGAGAAAATCATTTCCTTTTCTTTTCCTTCAAAATTCACCGAACCAAACATAGTGTCAATTTGGTTCAGGGAATTTGAAAGAGAAAAGAAGAAAATGATATGGCAAATAATTTTGCTTGGTTAAGGAAGAAAAGAAAAGTGGAAGGAAAAGAACATAATAGGAGAATAAGCCAAGGAAAACAACTTTCGTTTCATTTTGGCGAGGAAAAGGTGAGAAAACCTTTTTCTTTCCCTTTCTTTTAGAATTTGATGAACCAAACATAGCCTAAGTTTCCTTAGAAATACCTTTTCAGTTCAGAGATAAGCTCTTTATAAATCCTGCAGTCATCACCTTTGTAATGATCAAGAATTATATATGAAATTGTCCTCTATTTGCCAAGTGTTAACGATTTTTGCACATGTGATAAGTTCATTTTATTTTTGGTATGTATTAGAGCCTTGCGGTTCTACCAATTTGGTAGACTTGTATCAATTTGGTGTGTCAGAGCCTTGCGATGATCAATACACGCAATGACGCAATACAGCTCTGTCACCCTCTGACCCACCAACCCAAACACCTTTGCGCCCGCCATCAAATCAAACTAAAGTTACTAACTTAGAACACTCACTCAAAATCTTTCTCACAGTGCTAATCGTTTCTAAGCCCTAGAAGCCTGGTGTGGCATCCCTGAAGGCTCACGCTAATTGTCCACACATGGGATTAAGTGATTAACAAGTCAAGTGAACTCATATGATCATGGCCATGAACATGGTCCAAGGCAACGATGGCACACTCATTGGTCTGACAATCAGGAGGAAGACAACAACTCATGGGGATACTGACACAACCCAAAAATTTCCTTTACCAAATATGAATTTCTTATAATCAACATGAGTAAGCATATGACAATGAGTTCTTGGCGTTTGTGTTAGCGCTCCAAAAATAGCAGGATTACCTTAATGGAAATAAAATTCTGATCTGCAAAGACCACAGCAGCTTGAAATATTTGCTGGAATAATTCCTAACCACTCTAGAGCAGCAAGTTTACTATGAAGCTCTTACCAGTTGACTTCACAATTGCTTACAAGCCAGGGAAAGGCCAACCAGGGCACAGAACCTTAAGCCTGGTTGTTATGGTGGCATCTAAGCAACCCCTGATCGGTGTGGTGGTTCACACTTCAGAGCCTATGCCATGGAGGATGCCTCACCATTTTGGCATTGCTGTGGTGTCTAGGATCGTTTGAAGTTGATTTCAGTCGTCATACCCGACCCAGATCTGACTGGGTCTATCGAGTTGCAACTCTCACATGGTCCTGACCGAGATTTGTCCTCTGTGTTGTCACTTAACAGTAGTAATATTTTCCTTTTCTTTCTTTTTACTCCCTCCTTCCCGATAAGTTCGTCCGGTTTACTTTTTGCACGTAAACCAGAGAAAAGGGATAAAGTTGAAAAAGTGGCTAGAGTATTCTTCTTTAAGTGAGGGTTGGGTTAGATAGGTTGGGTGTAATAAAAATATAGTAAGGGTAAAATAGTCCGCTCAACTTTAGTTTTTTGCCAAATAAGGTGGACACACACATTTGGACAATCCAAAAAAGAGAAGTGGATAAACTTATTGAGACGCCTGGAGTAAAACTTATCACAAGGTGCCTATCAGCCTATGATAAGATCCGGATCATTAATAGAAGAAGGCCACCTTAATTATATTATTATGTGTGGGTTAATTGAGTTTGTTACTATTTTATATTTATTAAATAAAAAGACTCTCAGATTATTAGGAGTCCTGAGGCCTTAGGAGTTAGGATGGCTTAGTTAGTTAGAACTTATCACTTTGTTGTTTGATCTTATCAGATCAATTTGTTATTTTTGATCTTATCAGTTTGTTAGAGTTGTTATAAATTTCTCAGCTTCTCTATTGCTGAGATATCCAGAAAATAAACCACTAATCACATTGAGATTCTCTTGGCTTCTATTCCTTTTTCATCAGTGAGATACTTATTGAGAGAAGGGAGGGAGAGCTCTATTTAGTCTTAATTTAGATCCTGAATTAATTCTAGTATGTTTCTATCATTTGGTATCAGAGACTCGTTACTCGATCCCTATGGCAATTACTCGTGCAAACACTGCCCACAGTGAGGATGGTGGATCCAACGAGCAACCAGCAAACGAAGTTAGTCCGCAGAACAACACTCTAGCACAAATCGCTGCCAAGCTTTCTGTGTTAGATGACCTCAAGGCAGCAGAGACTGCCCTGAAAGCGCAGGCCAGAAGTAACTCTGGAAAGACAAAGATGAAGCAGTATATTGACAATTCTGATGATGAAAACGATCACAGCCACCACCGGTTTCCCAGATCCAAAGTTGAGTTCCCTAAATTCAGCGGCGAAGATCCACGGGGCTGGGTGTTGAAGGATGAAAAGTACTTCCGTTACTATGGAACATCAGAAGAAGATATGGTTGAGATGGCTGCCATGCACCTGGAGGGTGACGCTCTCGACTTGTTCTCCTGGATCAATGCCAAAAGGACGCTCTTGTACTGGGAGGAATTCATCAAAATCATTGAGGAGAATTATGGACCGCCAGAGTACTTGAACCCAGACGAACACCTTGTCTTAATCAAACAAACAGGCTCCGTACAGGACTATCGTCAAGAGTGTGCGAGGAGGGTTGCTCGAGTCCGAAATTGGCCTGACCATTGTCTCTTGGGTGTCTTTATTGCTGGTTTGAGCATGGTTGTTAAGTCGACAAGTCGAGTCGAGTCGGTCATGGAGAGACTAGTGGACTAGTCGACTAGTCAGCCTACGGTCGTAGACTAGTCGACAAATCACAATTAGTATTGAAACTTTTAACATTATATATATCTTCATTCACTACAAATAACTATATATATTTATATGACAAAATATCATTACCAAAGTAAAATTATGTTTAAAAATAGCACATAATAAAGTCACATACCAAAGAGTACTTAAGAAACAACATCCAACAAGGATAATAAACACACAAAGTAGACAAAGAACACATCAATATCTAACTTCTCGTTTTGAGTTAACAAATATCATCATCCAACGTTATGTCACAATTGATTTGTTTGTGGCATAATGTGCACTCCACAAGATTTTTGTTGTTCATATTTGGCCAAAATCCATATTTCCATATGGAATCATTAGACTGATTAGAGCCAGTTTTTTGTTTGGGGTCCTTCGATGGATCCTCATAGTCACGAACATTATTATCTCCCATTTGTTGTGAAATAAGTATAATCTTTTTAATAAGAGATAATGCATATTAAATTAACTTCTTAAGTCAAGATACTAAAATAACAACACAAACAATTGTTGATTGAAATAATCAAAAAAATAAAAAATAAAAAACTGAATAAAATTAACAAAAAAAATGTTAATTGAAATTAAAAAAACAGAACTGAATAAATTTTAAAAATAAAGAATATAATATACTTGTTTAATAGTTTAATGAACCAAATTAAAGAAAATTAACCTAAATTTGGAGATTAAGTGATAACGAATTGTAAATATTCTCGGCTGACCTGAATCGTGCGATGAAGAGGAATACTGGGTTTGTCTCTTCTTCTCCGTC